TACTGTGTGCTTTTCTTTGTACTACTCTCTCTGTCTCTCCCACTTTCTGTCTCTCTTTCTTTGTCTCTCTGTCTCTCGCTCTCTCTCTCTCTTGCTCTCTCGCTCTCTCACTCTCTTGCTCGCTCACTCTGTGCTCTGTGGTTAGATCATGATTCATTCCTTTGTGTGGACAGTGCTGGCCTGGCCACACAATTTTATTGGTAACTTTTTCTTGTGGCATCTCTTCTTCGTTTTCCAGGCTGTGGTTGGAAATGACAGACTGGTCCTGCTATCTCTCCAGCATGTGACATGGATCAGAATGTCCCTCTTTAGTGATACATTTTTAGCTCGATGTTCTTGTTTTTTCTGAGCTCATTCTGGGAAAGTTCTGTATTTGTGGTATAGTTTCATTATTGCTCGCAGCATCAATAAAATGGGCTGCATGTTTCTAAGTAGAAAGGACTCCTCCTCTGCCTGTCAATACTTTCTCAGTTTGAGTTAAAAAAGAACAGGGAAGTTCCTTACCTCTTTCTGCTTGTGCTCTCTTGGACTACTTCTATTAGAGATGGCATTTCTGTATCAGTGGGTCTCGGTATCGGTAGCAGAAAATGCTGGATCAGGTATCTGAGGAAATAAATTAATCTACTGCTGGCCTGAATAATATGAATACTCAAGTATTTGTTTGGTATTCATGTCTGAAGCTTCATCTTTTTTTTAAGCCCCAAAATTTGTAGCCTAAAATAATTTTATTCAGCAAAGGTCCGAGAACAGGGATTGTTCATGCCAGACATTCATTTCACCCATTGAAGCTGAAAGAGCAGAAGGGAGGGAGCACTTTAAATTCTCAGTGCAAAATTTGTGTTAAGAGGCTGGTGCATCATGGAAGTATGGCAAGTTTGATGAATCATCTCAAATGTGTTAGTATAGTGATACTTATCCAAGTATCGCCACACAGCCTTGATTCAGCTTCTTCACGGAACAGCTTCAGACGGGAATATTAGCTTTGTTTTACAGCAGGTTTAAAACTCCACAGCACAAACAGCAGATCTGTTTTTTTTTCCAGACGAAATCAAAGCAGTTTTACAAAGCAGTGTCAGAGAAAACTCTTTTCCACATGGGGAAGAGTCCTTGGCGGCAGTTCCTCTAACAAATTGTCTGACGTACAACTAAAAATGCTTCGTATGTTATTGTTTTTAAGGGTGATTTTGAGAAGGAGTGTTTGAGTACTTATTTGGATGTATCAACGAGTATTCAAAGCCTGTGAAATACTGTTTGGACCAGCCCTAATCTGATTTACTCCTGTAACAAATCTAGCCTGAAACACGCGTTGTGCAATATGATGATGTTACCTGTGTAGTTCTTACTGTGGTGTAATAGAATGATTGATTAGTTTGAGCATACCTTTAGATGATTAGAAGTGAAATGTTTCAGTTAGAAATAGCCAAATTAAAGCTTAAAGTTAGTAAATATCAGATCTGTATTGGTCTTGGACAACACTTAAAGTTTAAAAATCAGGATTGGAAAAGAAAAAGTGGTATCATGCTACCTCTAGCTCCTACAACACTACATAGTTTGCTAATATAACAGCAACATACATCTTCTGTATTTAGGTATAGAGGTGTTTCAGAGGTTTCTCTGTCATTTTTATTCTGCAGCTGAATGGAGGATATGAGCGACTGAATCGGTTCAATATGACACATATCAAGGGTAAGGGTCATTTGGAGGAAATACCTTTACAGGGAGGATTTTTTTCACACATCTGAGAAACCAAAATGGTAGAGATGAGCATTCGTGTGAAGTCTGAGAGGTAGGGCCCCCTTTTCATACACTCCAGGACCAGCTAACTCTTTTCACTGGAGTGGCTTGTTGTGGCTGTTGGAACTAGTGCTCTGTAGGAGTGAGCAGCAACTCTTTGTCTGAATGTCTGCTGTGGCCCCTTGTCAGCTGAGAACCTAGACACGTTCTCATTTGTAGTGCATATATTTCTATGTGAAAATGGTCTTATCTGGGAGAATTTTGGTGCGCATTCCCTTTTTATCCTTTTTCAGTTGTCAGTTTTACTTTTGCAACATCAGTACTTTTGTAATATGGCCTGCATAATCTAAATAATAATAAATATAGTTTTTATACACGTAAACAGCATAAACCCAACTGCTTGTCCATATAAAGTATTTTGAAGGCTGAAAGTGAATTCCTGGACCTGGCTTTACTAGGAATTTTTGCTGTGCCCTCTGAGGTCATGGTTTTTCTCAAAAGTTCATAAGGATCAGAGACTTATCCCCACAAAGCGATTCATGGGAGCCAGAGAGAGTCTGGAATCTGGCCGAGGTGTTACTTGGGGCACAACCGCTTCCTGTTTGCTGGCATTCTCTTATGTTTCGGTGCCTGTAAAACAGTAGACATCTCTGTTTCAGTGTTGATGAGAGAGAGAGAGAGAGAGAGAGAGAGAGAGAGAGAGAGAGGGAGAGGGAGAGGGAGAGAGAGCAGCAGTCTGTTTCCTGTTTCTTTGCAGAAAAGAATGGAACAAACCTGGGCACTCTGAGTCACAATAACCTCATCTCTCAGAAAAAAGTCAGGAAGAATAAGCTGATGAGATTTGAAAAAGAAAAAAATCAAATTCATTCTTATTCTCTAAACTCACTTAATTACTGGATATGAAAACCTCCAGTGGTCATGTTCAGTGCAGAGGCAGTTTGCATTTAGTTTATGTTGGTAAGTGTATGGTTCATGCAGTGAAAAGCATGAGCTGTGGCTGAAAGTCGATGTTGCTCAGGTTGGTAGAGCCTCAGTTGATGCTTGCATTTTGGAAACAGTATCTGACATTCTCATCATTTTCCCGCAGCCAGAGAGGAGACAGAGAGTGTGTTAGACTCGTTTACTGAGAGAGGCCCACTGCAGCTCAGGGAGATTGTTAAGGGATGCGAAGTTCAGGCCTACCATGTCTAGCAGAAAGAGATATTAGCCCACATGACATTAGATTTTATCCCGGAGTCTCACTGACTACAGCAGTAGCAACTGGGAGTTCTCACGTTTCTGTTTTTCAGCCAATAACTATGCACAAGTATAAAGTTGCCATGGATATCAAGAGGGATTTGACCCACACTTTATGAGCTGCAGATTCAGATCCTGAGGAAACAGAAGCTTTAAGATTCGATCCACACAAATGCACCAAGCTTGATCAATTGGGTATGTCTGGATTCCAGATACAAGAAAGCTGAAAAGGTGCTAATCAGTTCTCTTCATATTTAGATTTAAAAGTGTACTTTCAGTCCTAATGGAGAACTGGATTCATGATCATGGCTCCAGCAGTGCCACGTGCTGTCTGAGATCCTTTGAATATGCAATTTTCTGAGTTCTGATTAAGGAAAAAGAGTGGGTCCTCTCTCTCGCTCTCTCTTATGTGCCAGGCGGTTGGACACAGGCACGAGTGTGGTGTTCTGACCACTAGCCTTCCAGACTAGTGGTACTGTGATATGATAGAATGAGACTTACTAATTTGACAGCTATTTACAGGAAATGGGAATATGAACTGTAAAAAGGTTCTAAAAGTTCTGTTCTTTACTTGAGGTTTACTTGAGGAGTTCAATAACATGCTTGATTGAGTGTATAATATACTAAACTTGGCATTATATAAATAGAAATATTTCTGCAGTATCTAATCAAGCTTCATGAAAATATGCCTTTCTGTAGACATAATAGTTCAAATCCTTTTCCCGTTCTTGAATATTTTCAAAGCAGCCTGTAGGTAATGTGTACATTTTTTATTATATATATGTTTTTTTCCCTGTTCTTCAACACATTAGATTTTAAATAGAAAATGTGACTCTGAGATCACAGCACAGAATTGCAGCTTTAATTTCAGGATATTTATTTCACTTATAATTAACTTGTAAATCTTACAAGAGGCTTATAGTTCTTGATTTTATTCTGGATGTAGCTTTTTGTATTGACAATTGTAGAAAAGCTGGGCAAAATGAGACAGATAAATAAAAATCAGTCAGTCAGGGACAGAGTCAAAATATGAAGTGGGTCAGAATAAACTGTTTGGTACAGAAGAAAAAATGCGCTGGTGAGTCTAACAATCCTAAACAACCTGTTGGATTACTGTTGTAGATAACCAAAGAATAATTTTAGTCAGGTAAAGAAAACCCCTTCTGCTGGAAGTTTTTTTTTTACAGAAAATGTTTTAATGCTTCAGAAAGTCCATCAGTGTAGGTTATGGAAACAGAACTGTAGTAGTTTCTAAATGTTGACAGAACAACTTTAGTGGATGAATTAAAATGTTCCAAAACTTTCATTAAACCTTCATTCACTAGGGAAGAACGCATTAACACACAAATTTAGTGTCAGGTGATAGATTTCCCTCATGTGCCTCTTAAACACAAACAGCCTGGTGGAGGGGTGGAGTGAAAAGGTATACAAGTTGTGGCATGCATGAGATTAAGAGATGGAAACATATTATCAGTAAACCACAAGTTATTCATTCATTCATTCATTTATTTATTTAGGAGTGACTTTATTACGTAAAGCATTTTTGTGGTCAAAAGTCAGTTTGATGGAAACAGAGAAACATTGCAAAGAGAGACCATAAATCCACAACCTAGGAAGGAACATCACAAGATCACAAATCATTGGTAATATCAAGAACAGAAAGACAAAGCTTTGTCTCTCAATTTCTGCTTTGCATTTCTACATTTGTGAATCTTCACTCTTCTTTGAATTTCTTTTTGAGGGGGTGATGCTGAACACGTTATTTGTTTTTATTGAAAAGTGCTCTGATAAGTCCATTGTGGCATGTCAGATATGTTACATGTGCAACCGCCACTTTCAGAATGCAAGTAAGATAATTACAAAAGTGTGATTCACCCTGTTTAACACGGTGACCTACCTTTTCAAAGTTCACCTGAAATAGGCATTAGATAGATTGTTTAGCTGTTGTGCAGTTACCACATTTCCTCTTATTTGATCAGTGTGATGCGCTTACAAATGATTTACATTTTTATCTGGTTCTCTTGATCCAGTTGGCGAGCCACACTTACTTGGTGCCCAGAGGAGAGGGTTAGGCAGTGCTGCACAGGACCCTGGCAGTGCTCTTCCTTGCTCTACCGAAGAGGGGTTAAGGCTCAGCTTGTCTAAAGGAGTCTCAATGTCCCTACCCTCCTCGCCTCTACTGCCCCGACAGAACTACATGATGCCCTCTCGCTCCAGCAAGAAATCTCCAGGTATGTTCCCTCTAGTAGCTTCTTTCTGATTTCTGGATTATTTTTCAAATGATTGAAATTTTGTACTATACCCTCAGAGATGATGTCCCAAAAAAGATCCGAGTCAATGGTTAAAAGGATTTAAGTGAATCCCTATTAGCATAATAACGTAAGACTAGGCTTAAGCAGGCTTAAACGGACTGTGTGAACCTTCCACGGTTTTGGAAAGAGCTTCATCCACACAGCTCCAGCTTGTAATCAAATGAGTCTGAAAACCTTCTGTCACCCATGAAGCAGAATCTGTTGTGATGTGTGATGGACAGAGTAGTGGAGCTGTTATTGTGAGTTGTAATGGCTAGGTGGAGATAACTACTAAGAGGTAATTCTGTAAAAATGCTCTGGGCACATGATAGCCATGTGTGACCTTTTAGGATCAGTAAAGCTAAAGCAGGTCAGAAGTTAGAGATACGTGTGTGAGAGAAAGGGAGATGTTAATCAAATATTCAATATAAAAGATAAATATATGATGAATAACTTTGATGATGGCTTTGACTGGATCTGGTGGGTGATATATTTAATCCTCTGATTGTTTGCCAAGCAGAAAAAAAAACACTTTGTACTCAGGAAAATGTATAAAAAATGACTGTCTACCATGAGTCAGACTGTGTGTTTTATGGTCAGTTTGGTTTGTGCTGCAGCCCCCAAAGTGAAGGACAAGGCCGTCAGCAGCTGTTACCATCAAAGCTTGTCACTAAACTTGTTTAAACCTGGGTTTTTGTTTACAGAGGACTTAGCAAAGAGGGCTGAAATCTGTTAGGTGATCACTTTGGGCACCCGTTCACATCTGGGGCTCATGTGTGTTGTATCAGCACTTCTCTTTGAAAAGGGTTGAATGCTTTGATCCTTCCGCAAGTGTAGTGTGACATGCTCAGACTACTAGGCTGTTGGCCTTTTACACATTTCTTAAGCCTGGCGTCTATTAATGAAAGCTAAATTTGTAAAGAACTGTCTTCTTCTCAGCAGTTTTGTAAACTTCCTCAGGACACACTTTAATAAAATTCAGCTTTAGATTTAAGAATAACAATAACTGAGTTGAGTGGTTTACTGTGGGAGTTTGTCTAGAACAGAGTTGATAAAGGGCTACTTTCAGGAATAGCTTGAAAGCTACAAAATAATAATAATAATAATAATAATTCGCAGTCCTGATGGAGCTTTTATTTACTTATTTTTCATTCACAAGTATTCTTTACCCTAATGCATTCACATGTGGCTGGTCTCTCTGTAATATGGTTATTGTCTTTCCATTACAAATTGTCTGAACCCAAGACTACATTTTGCCATTTCCTCTTTATTTTGCATTTTTCATGTAAAGTGAGAGAGAAAGTCAATCATAAGTTATGTTATGTATTATGTATTTATAAGTGAGTGACTGCACATATCATGTTGTAAGAGTTAAGCTGGTCCCAGATGGACTTAATGTATTTTTTTTTTTCATAAACTCTCCAGTAGAATCACTACCATGGTAGTATATGCCATATTACTCTCACTGCACTATATGGCCAAAAGTATGTGGACATCTGACCATCACGCCTATAGAAGCTTTTGGACATCCCATTCCAAAACCATTTTCTTTAATATGGAGTTGGTCTACTTTTGCGGCTACAGCAGCCTGCACTCTTCTGGAAAGGCTTCCCATAAGATTTTGTAGTGTTCAGTCAAAAGAGCATTTGAGAGATCAGGTGCAGATGTTGAATGAGAAGGCCTGGCTTGCAATTGATTTTCCAGTTCACCCCACAGATGTTCAGTGGGGTAGAGGTCAGTGCTCTGTGTCCACCACTGGAGTTCCTCCTCACCAAATTTGTCAAACCATGTTTTTATAGATCTCACTTTGTGCACAGGGGCGCAGTCATGCTGGAACAAGAAAGGACCTTTCCCAAACTGTTGCCACAAAGTGGGAAGCCTATAATTGACTGAAATGTCTTTGTATGTTGTAGCAGTAACATTAACCTTCACTGAAACTAAGGGCCTAGTGCAAACCCCATAAATGGCCCGAGATCATTATCCCTCCTCCACCAAACTTACCAGGCTTGTGTGCAACTGATCTGCCATGGAAACCCATTGCATAAAGCTCCTGATGCAAGGCTTTTGTTTTGATGCTGAGCTCCTCAGTATGACCCATTCTAATGTATGTCTGGCCCCTTTTGATGTCTAAGGCTAATGCAGATGAATGCAGGTGCATGTTTCTTGTAATATGCTAGGGATATGCACAACTGATTAGGGATAAAGTAACAGCGTCACATGCTGATTTGGCAAAACGCAGATCTGTCCAGAATTGAACCTAGAGGATTTTTGCTGGGTGCCACACAGGCTCCTGTTCAAATCTCCATCATCATCTACCATAACACATTATCTGCTCTTAGTATGGGTCAGCCTTAAATGCTGACCCAGAAATGGACTCCTTTGCACAGTCCACTTCAGCTGACTGTGTTTCACTTAGATGAATAGATTAATGAAGCTTTTACTGATGCACATGCAGATTTATGTATGTAGCTGAAATACTTTTCCTTTGTTTCTGTTCATTTCCTCAGTCCTGTGCCTCATTTCCCTGCAGACTGCAGAATGTGTTTTATTGTGGCAGCCATGTCTTAATCATTGCCATTTCACGAAAGCCTCAACAAAACAAAGTGGAGGCGCTGTTGAAGTTAAAGACATATCAGAAGGCTGTGACACATGCTCTCTGATGCTTTGATCAGTGTAGGGGAACTCACATCTGTTTCACAGAAGCTGGTGTCTTGTTTTATCAAATTACCCTAGCTGTTGTTTGACTCTACAGTGTCCCCCTCTGGTCACTCTTATAAAGTCTCTCAAAGTCACGGCAATGTTCCTGTCTGTGACATCCACGGCTCTATTTGAGAAAGGATGCAAGGGGATGCCATCCCACTGGTTCAAAAAAAAAGAAAATACAAGACAGATTACCTCCCCTTGTGAGATTTTCAATCCAGTTAACATACCCTTTGGATTACATGTTGTTTAAGCAATAGTAACAGGGACTGTGTAATCACAATTTTTATGCAGCAGTTCTGCAAAATAAAGAAAAAAAGTAAAGCAAAGAAGCCCAGAATAAGTTAACAAAACACAATATATATATATATATATATATATATATATATATATATATATATATATATATATATATATATATATATATATATATATAATATAGAGAGAGAGAGAGAGAGAGAGAATACCTACACACACACACATATATATATATATATATGTATATGACTAGGCTTAAGCAGGCTTAAACGGACTGTGTGAACCTTCCACGTTTTTGGAAAGAGCTTCATCCACGATCAGGCATAACATTATGACCACCTCCTTGTTTCTGTGCTCATTGTCCATTTTATCAGCTCCACTTACTATATAGGTGCACTTTGTAGTTCTACAATTACAGACTGTAGTCCATCTGTTTCTCTGCATACTTTGTTAGCCCACTTTTTACCCTGTTCTTCAGTGGTCAGGACCCCCATGGACCCTCACACAGCAGGTACTATTTGGGTGGTGGATCATTCTCAGCACTGCAGTAACACTGACGTGGTAGTGGTGTGTTAGTCTTTGTTGTGCTGGTACGAGTGGATCAGACACAGCAGTTTTTCAATTAGTTTTTCAGTTAGTTATTACGCAAAAGTAAATGGCTAGTAGTAAAACCAACCTCCCCAATGCTGCTTCACCCCTTTGGTCATTTGAACCCACCTTCCCTCTTGACATGTTCTTTACAGTTTGAGCACTAGTGATGTCCCCTGTCAGGTTATGCACAAAGCAGTTACACTGTAGGAGCACCATATGTGTTAAACACGTTTGCTTCTTTCTCTCTTTCTGTTCTCAGTGGAACAACCATTAAATGTACCTCATCTTTCAGAACTGCTAGCTCTGCTCTTCCATTGTTCTGGCTACTACAGCCATTTAGGTTTTTGAATCTTTAACTGGTGAGCAGGGACTGTGTTTGATGCTCCTGTTTCATTCTTCGGGAACGCTTAATGAGGTAGCAGTGACACTGTTAGCCTGAGTGTGTTCTGCACGACAGACCTCTGGGACATGTTAGAGCACAGGAAACATCAACTTCATTGCTGCATTGGCCAACTTGTCATTTTAACATCCATGTGGGCAGTGTAAAAACATGGTCCCTCACAGACCATTACTGGCTGAACTAGTTAGAGCTGGAGCATGACTCCCTGAAAGACAATATTAAAGAGGAGTTAAATTAAAAAATCTCACTGATATGCAGAGAATCGTTTTTTAGTTCTGCATATGTTCTAAGACAGACAGTGGTGCTGGATTTAACTTGTAAATTTCAGGATTCTGGAAGTGAATTCAGTTCTAGAGCTATAAAAATAAATATTTTGATATTTGATTGTTTATTTAAATATAGTAATAATCAAGTAATCTGCTTAAATGTGAACTGTAAATGAGAAAGCAATGCAGTGAAACGCTGTAACTAAAATGCTACGACAAATGTTAGGCCTTGAAAAAAAATGTCATGGTGCATTATTTAAACCTGCCCATAGTTTCGAGCTAGAATAAGTAATAAACAAAAAATAAAATATGTGCTAACAAATTTGTCGGGTAATTTAACCAGTTTAATATTTTATGCTAGGTCACTAGACGAGCTATGTGCGAACAGGTTTCCAGGATGTGCAGATGGCATCTCTTTCATATGTTTACACATTGTGTGGTATTTTAAGCTAATTAACCAGCTACATTGTTCGCTAACTTAATTTTGGTTTACTTATTTGTTAAAAATACTAATACAAATCTAGTAGCAATCACTATTTCTTGTATAATCCTTATTTATCTTACTCATCCTTAGATAGTCCCACAAACTTTGAGTGTTTTGCCCAAAATGCTTCCAAGCATTCTTAGCAGTTTTATGTAATTTATAAGTATAGTTCTCTTGGCAAAATGTTATTTTTTTGTTCATAGCATACTGTCATGTTAAGTGAGAGGTTTGGATGCGCGTC